CTGCCACAAAGAGGAAAGGGTCAACTCATTCTCCAAAGCACCAGAAGGCTTTGGATAAGGAGCAATGGAGGGAAACTAATCAAGAAGAGAAGCAAGCTGGAATTAAGGAGAAACTTCCTGACAGTGAGAATAGCAATAGCAGTAGCACTCATATACCGCTTCAAAGTGCTTTTAACAGCCCCCTCTAAGCGGTTTACAAAGTCAGCCTCTTGCCCACAACAATCTGGGTCCTCATTTTACCCATCTCGGAAGGATGGAAGGCTGAGTCAACTTGAGAACAATCAACCAGTAGAACAGAAGTTGCCTCCAGAAGTTGTGGGTGCTCCATCACTGGAGGTTTTTAAGAAGAGACTGGACAGCCACTTTCTGAAATAGTCTAGGGCAGTGATGGGGAACCTTTTTCGCCATGGTGCCAAAAGCATGCATGCGCGTGCACTATCGAGTGCGCTCGCGTGCCTATCGCCGTAATTTAATGCCCCCCGCGCGCGCCATACCACCTGTATGTGTGACACACACCCCTGCTGCCCCTGCATGCAAAAAACAGCCCAACACACAAACCGGAAATCAGTTCCCGAACTTCCGGTTTGCGCGTTGGGCAATTTTTTGTCCTCCGGAGGCTTCCCATCCTCCGAAGGGCGAAAAATGGCCAAAAATCAAGGCTGAAAATAAGCTGGCGTGCCCTCAGAAATGGCATGCGTGCCATAGTTTTGCCATCACAGGTCTAGGGGGTTGGACTAGAAGTCCTCCAAGATCTCTTCCAACTATTATTTTATGGTCTAGGCTAGCAGCTAGGAGACATGATGAATCCAGATAAACTTCAAAGTGGCCTCAAGGACTCTTTAAAAGGATGCAATTGACCAGCTGTCTGCAAGGAATATAAATCCTTCCATTCCCTACTGTTGTGGCCCAGCAGGAGCCGTTGGAGCTGCCGATGGACTCCGATAGCGAGGGACCCTATGAGTCGGCTCTGGAAGATGTGGAGGACCCTGGGNGCACATGTGTAGGAGAGCGCCGAAGACTGCGTGGGCTGGGAAGAAAACGGACGGCGTGTCCGGCGAGGGAGTTTGGAATTTCACTTGAGTTGTCCTTAAGTTTGAACCCGTTACCCAGCGGTGGTGGGTTGCTCTCACTGTCACTACTGGTACGCTAATCCTGCGCTCGCGCATTCTGTGCACAATCCACCGGCCCTCAGACAACCAGCTGATTGTTGGGATTCACAGACACTGCACGCTGTGTGTGCAGGCGCACTTTGCCATTTGCCATAAGAACAGGTATAGAGCGCGGGTGGGCCAAAAGAGCCACCATATCGGTACGCTCTCAGCTGCTCCGGGCCACAAACGGTTCGCCCATACCCGCAGCAGCCCACCTCTGGTACCCAGGTATGCAGATAATCCTTGGCTTACAACCGTTCGTTCAGCGACCCTTCGAAGTGACAACAACCCACAACACTTACAAAAGTAACTTATGGCCGTTTTCATACACTTACGACTGTTGCAGTATCCCCACAGTGATCAAAATTCAGACACGTGGGAACCGGCATGTAGAGGTAGTCCTCGACTTACAACAATTCATTTAGTGACCGTTTGAAGCGACAACGGCACTGAAAAAAGTGACCTGGGGCTGGTTTTCGTACTTAACGACCGTCGCAGGATTCCCCCCTCCCCCCAGTTTTATGTGATTAAAATTCTGAAGTTTGGCAACTGACTCGTATTTATGATGGTTGCAGTGTCCCCGGGGTCACGTGACTCCCCCTTTGCAACCTTCTGAAGAGGAAAGTGGGTAGGGAAGCTGGATTCACTTATCGCCTGTGTTACCAACTTAGTGCCGTGATTCATTTAACTCCCGTGGCAAGAAAGGTCGTAAAGTGGGTTAAAATATAATTCGCAACGGACTTGCTCAGCAAATGGAAATTTTGGGTTCTGTTGTGATCGTACAACCTGTATTTTCTTATTCCAAATTTGATGCACTCGTGACGTCTAATTAATTATCATTTATAAAGCTGCCCACCTCACAGACTGCGCTTCTGGGCAATTCACAACAAAGTACGATGTTTCCACGAAATTAAGACAGAGCCTTATTTTCTTTTGACCCCCGAAATAAACGCTTGGCCTTATTTTTGGGGAGGTCTTATTATTTTTGAGGTACAGGAGGCGGCGAGTGTGATCACCTCATGGCTGCTGCTGTGTTGTACGTCTCTGGGCCTGCCGTTCTTTTTATGGTGGTCATTAGCGTCCCCTCTCCCTCCCCCCCCCCTCCAGCCTCACCTCCTCACCTCGTCTTGTTTGCGCTGCAACCAACCAGAGGAAATGGAGGCGTTTACGGTATTTTTTGGAGTATAAGACGCACCCTTTTCCCCCAAAAAAGAGGGTGAAAATTTGGGTGCGACTTATACACTGAATGTAGCCCACCCCACCCCCACCCGAGGCCAAAAACGCAAAGCATGGAGGCAGCGATGGTGTGTGGCAATCCTTGCAGCCTGGAACAGCGGGTTGAGGGTATTCCGGCAGTCCGATCCACCCGCCAATCAGCTGTGCTGAATCAGGCTGCAATAAGTGCTGAAGCTGACCTGGCTGGTCAGANTGAGTCAACCCTGAGCCGGTGAGATTTGAACCGCTGACCTGCTGATCTAGCAGTAGCCTGCAGTGCTGCATTTAACCACTGCGCCACCTTGGCGCCACCATTGCATGGCTCACTGCTGAGCTGTACGATCCTCTGGAGCTTTTTTTTTTTTTTTTTTTAAACTACCAGTTCGCAGAACCAATGACAATCAAACCAGGTCAAACTGGGAGGATTTCACCCCTGATCCTTGGGCTGTCAGACTCTTAAACACAACCACTGCACGCACATGCGGAAACGTATGACTGGTTTTTCTTTTTCTTTCTTTTTCCCAATTACTTGCATGGGGATTATTCTTTACGCTATTTATGTTTTTTGTCATGGATTGCATTGCACCAGTGAAGCTAAAACCAATTTTGTTGGTTTAAGGACAGGGACAGTAGGCACGTTGGTGCGCTTATGCACGCCCCTTAAAGACCTTCATAGAAATGGGGTGAGGACAACAGTAGAGACTCTAAGGTTAAAGTTGTGGGGGTTTGGGGAAGAAAACACAGAGTCAGGTAGAGCATTCCAGGTGTTGACCACTCTGTTGCTGAAGTTGAGTTTGGAGCAATTAACCATAGGTTTGCTTCTATTGTGAGCTTGTGTGTTGTTGCGGTTGAAGCTGAAGTATTCATTGACAGGTAGGACATTGTAGCGGATAATTTTACGTACTACACTTAGCTCGGATCGAAGGTGGTGAAGTTCTAAATTGTTTTAGCCCAAAATTTCAAGCCTGGTGGCATAAGCGGTTTTGTTGCGAGCAGAGGAGTGGAGGACTCTTGGCGTGAAATATCTCTGGACACATCGGGTTGTATTTATGTCTGATATGCAGTGTGGGCTCCATGCATGATGTACATGATGTACAATGACAATAAAGGCTATACGTCAGCAGCCGATTCCTTCTGATGTTAAGAACGCAAGGAATACTTGGATGTTAAGATTTTATTTTTTTCAAAGTACAACTTACAACAGGTCGTTTAGCGACTGCTCGAAATTATATGGACCTCCCCCCCATGCTTCTTATGTTCGGGATTTAAAGTTCTGGTGGTCTGCTCTTTCCCCTCCCCACTCCCTCAGTGTGGTCATGTGATCACATTTTAAGGTACTGAGCAATCAGCTTGCATTTACAGCTGTTTGCAATGTCCTGCATTTTTGTCAGAAATTGGCTTTTCCTTCTGATTTCCAGCAAAAAAAAAAAAAAAAAAGCCCATTGCAGATTGCTTAATGGCTGTTGCAAAAAAAAAAAAATGGTTGTAAAAATTAGCAACGTCACATGGTGACCCACTTCATGACCAGCATGACTTTGCAATCATAATTCTGGGCGCAATTAACAGTTGTAAGTCGAGCACTAAGGGCATAGATAGTCCTCGACCTACGACCACAATTGAGCCCCAAAATTTTGTTGCTAAGTGAGACATTTTCTAAGTGACTTTTATCCCATTTTACGACCTTTTTTGCCACCGTTGTTAAGGGAATCACTGCAGTTGTTAAGTTAGTTAAATGTTTGTTAAGTGAATCTGACTCCCTCATTGACTTGGCTTGTCTGAAGGTTGCAAAAGGGGATCGCATAACTCCGGGACACAGCAGCCGTCATAAATATGAGTCAGTTGCCAAGTGTCTGAAGTTTGGTCACGTGGCCGTGGAGCTAATGCAATGGTCGTAAGTGTGGAAAAATTGACAGTTTTTTCAGTGCTGTTGTAATTTCGAACAGCCACTAATGAACTGTTGTAAGTCAAGGACTCTTTTTCATCATCATCCTCTTTTAACGACCCCATAATCCCTTGCGGGGTGGAGTCTGGGCAACTGAATGGAGCCTGAGTGTTTACTGGCCGGATGCCCTACCTGTTGCCAATGAGAAGTTTTGTTCAGCAGATATATTCTCAGCTCCCCCTCTAGGCTACTGCACCACTCGTTGTAAGTCAAGGGCTATCTGTACTTTATTGGATGAGATGCATCATCTCCTTTTAAATCCTGTTTTGTTTGTGTTAGAATATTCATGACCGGGAGAGACATGGGAGCAAGGTCAGCCAATGAATAGGCATAGCAACTAAGTCAGCCAATGGGAGCTGAAACAGAGCTTAGTCGGTGCAAAGAATTGAAACAGAAGCTTAAGACTCTGTCTGCTCTAAACTCTGAAACGAGGCCAACTATTCTCTCCTGCTTGTGTTCTGCTTGTAACTTTTGCCACGTTGAAAGAATCTATTATTGGTATTGTACATTTATTCATCTGTTATCATATATATAAAGAAGTTAATGAATCCAGCTGAATCAGTTATCTGTGTGTGCTTTCTGGATTTGATTTTTTTCTGCAACAAACTCCGACAGTTTGCTATTTGGCTCATCTTGAAAATTTTATTCCTGAATAAGCTTACTTACCAATGCCCAATTCCATATCCCAACAGGTCTGGATTGGCACCATTGGAGCAGGTCCGAAACGCCGGCAGTTACGGGCAACTTTTCAACATACAGAAACGTTTGAGTTTCAAGATGAAGTCGGCGAACTCCTGCTGTCGGTCTGTCAGACGGTGCGACGTGGGGTTTTGTGTTTTTTGCCCTCTTACAAGGTAAAGCCCACCACTCTTTTCTATAGAGGAGTATGTGTGTGTGTGTGTGTGTGTCTTTGTATGTTTTACTCTTCTGCTTATGTCAAAGTCATCGCACCTCCCGGAGCCAATTAACCATGAGTACCGAGGTACCCTTGTACAAAGATGATTAGGGGACTGGAAGCTAAAACATAGAACAGTTGCTGGAATTGGGAATGTCTAGTTTAATGAAAAGAAGGACCAGGGGTTACATGATAGCAGTGTTCCGATATCTCAGGGGCTGCCCCAAAGAAGAAGAGTAAAACAATTTTCCAAGGCACCTGAAGGCAGGAGAAGAAGCAACAGATGGAAACTAATCAAGGAGAGAAGCAACTTAAAACTAAGGAGAAATTCCCTGAAGGTTCCTGAAGGCTCCGGAGGACTAAAAACGACCCTACGGACAAACTGGAAGTGACTTCCGGTTTGCTCGTAGGGTCGTTTTTA